ATCAATATGTCTTTCATCACCTGTCAAGTGACACGAAATGTTATGACCTGCTTTGTTTTATTTTCAAACTACATCTTTTCAGTGCAGAAACTAAGTTAAGTTTGTTTCAAAATAGTTTAAATAAACATTATAATTTCTGATTTTCTTAAAATAAGTTTTGAAAAAATTATAATTGATTATTAAAAGAATTTCAAACTGAGATTTTCATTTTTTTTATAAAATGGGAAAAAAATATGATTGACATGATCTGTCAGTTTTGCTGACTAAAAAAACAAAATTTTTAACGAAAATTTTGTACGTGCTAGGAACGATTAAAAAATGTAAAAAAAAAAAAAAAAATACCCCAAAGATACTTTGATCTTTCCTCTTAATAAAATAAAAATTTACACGATAAAGTTTTGTTTCGTCAAGTTTGGTGTATTTTAAAATTTTCATCATGCTAGCTAGCTATACTTTTTTTTCGCGATCTCATGAAGGTACCTAAATTGTCATAGTTTTTATTGCATTCTTTACTTTTTTTTTATTTAACAAGTACGAGATTTTCGGAAACTGAGTAATAATAATAATAGTTTTTTTTTTTTTAAAAAAATGTTAATTTACAATTTTACATTCTTCAATACGTCGTGCTTTTTTAACTAACGAAAAAAAAATGAAGACTTTCTCCAAGGAGTCCTTTAATAAAAAATAATTAGGGTTGAAAATTTAATTTCTACAAAGTTCATGTAACTGCTAAAAAGAAATAAAATTATTTGGTCAATAGGGCAGCATCAATTTGGCCCAAACATCTTTATGATATCAAACTAAAAATATACTTTTATCTCGTCCCTTTTCGTCTTGAAAATAATCCAGCTTTGAAATAGTAACATGGAAGTTTTTAACTGAAAAAAAGGAAGAAAAAAAAAAAGCATTATACTTAAAGTTAATTGTAACTTGTCTTTAGGAGATTGCAACTGAATTTTTATTTTGCTTTTGCATTTCTTTTGTCTTGCTAACAGACTCCGACCCACGAATAATGAAAGAAATCAATTAAGTAACGAATTCTTCTTCTATCAAAATTATCAGAATTCCTTCATTTACTTTTCAGACCAGAAAATTCAATGAGAAAAACACAAAATCGTCTGATTTGTTTGTGTTTTCAAATGATTTCCTTGAGATTTTTACTTCAACCGACACAACACAAGTTTTGTATTTTTCGTTAAGTTAATGTCGAAAGTGTAACAAATGTCACAAGGAAAGAATTAAAGAAAATAGAAAAACACGAAATTATTTTTGTTTTTCATATCATATTTTGCTAGATAACAGACGAACACGATGTGGCGGTGTAAAACAAGATGTGGTTCCTCATGTTTAAAAATCCTTAGATTTCTTGGCAATCGGAAAGCGATGACAAGTGTTTTTTTTTTTATGGTAACCCCATTATTCTGTGTAGAAAAGCAATGACAACTGTTGTAAAGCTTTTATTTTAAATTAAAAATAAAACAAATAATAATTAATGAGCAAACTTTATGAAGAGCATGAATATTTACAAAATAAAATTACAAAAAAAAAAAATGCTAGAAAGGAAATAATAATTAATGACCAAAGTTTGCGCAGAAGGGAAGTACTTAGCCAAAAGTATTTACGTTCAAGTGAATATAAAGACCTCAATTGAAATTGGCACTTCGATCTCCAATTAATGATTCAGAGACAATATCCCTTACACCACCTGCACACTCGAGCTTACAGTACCTGGTATTATTCTCAAGTGGTCACCCATCGAAGTACTTGACATAGCTTGACTTCAGTGATCGTATGAGTGCTGGGAATCAAAGACAATGGAAAGACTTTAGTGAGGAAAAGACAATTAAGAAACTGGGTTCAGGAAGACAGAAGATGGTGATTAATATTTCATATCAATTTTTGAAGATTATAAATGTCAGGGAAGGAAGAAATTGAAATGGAGTTCCACAGGTGAGAAGTGCAAGAAAATACACTGTTAGAATTGAAATGCCAGTTGCATCTCGCAACAGTAAAATGGCGAGATCTAGTTGTCAATTTAGTAGCATATTTCAATTCATATTGTTGAGGCACTAGGTTGTGGGGGTGGGGAGCTCCTCATAACAGTTTCCAGGAAAATATTGTTATAACCTTCCTAAAACCAGATCTTTTTCTGGTTCATGCTACACTAATTTCTACCACTGGCTGGATGTGAACGCACCTAGACCAAGACCGAACTAAAATTTCATCAACTGCGCATCGGTTTCGCACATAGCTTCCATTTTACTCACACACTCAAAGAAAAATACAATCCAGAATTTCCACTTAAAGAAACAAAATAAAATTTGGAGCCGAATAAAAAGCCTATCAGAGGCACAAGAGCCCGGATGCACAACTTCCCATCTCCAAAGGCAACTCGGCAAAGTCCGTCGCCAGAATAAGTCACAAGTCACCTTCCCTCTCCTACCGTGCACCTCTGCGGACGACTTTTACATGTCTATTTATCTCTTTCTTTCAACGAGAGACATTTACACCAATTTATCATTTGTTGTATTTTTACGTTAATACAATTGTTTATTTCTTAAACATACATCGATTCTTCTTTGTTCTGCCATCATATAACAATATTTGTAGAAAAGGCAGAAGGAAGCAACATCACGTCGATTTAAAAACATCTGATGTCGAGATGCCATGTCAGGATTGGTAACATTACAGTTCCTTCTTCGGTGCTTCTGCTACGCATTTAAAGATACTTGATAAAGTACAAAGAAGGATCTGCAATGTTACTGGTACTGAATTGATATCTTGTCTCCAGTCACTTTCCCATGAAAGTGATGTATCTTGCCTGGTCCTTTTCTATAAATATTTTCATAGTAATTGTTTTAATAAAATCTTCTGTGTGGCACCTAGACTTTATGAATTTATGTGCCATACTAGATTGACAACAAGGACATTATTTTACAGTTGAAACATCTAGATGTAGCCGTAAGTTCTACGCTAACAGTTTCTTCTCATGTATTTCTCAGCTGTAAAACTCTCTTCCAGCTTCATACTTTCCACTTAACTTGATGATGATGGAAGGTAAAAAGGTTTCCCTGAGATTATTAAAAAGAGAGTAGTTTCATTTTGGAGGTGTTAAAATGAATAGATTGACAACAATGAATAATTATCTTATAGTTGAAATGTCTAGATGTAGCCGTAAGTTCTATGCTAACAGTTTCTTCTCGTGCATTTGTGAAACTCTCTTCCAATTTCATACTTTCCAGTTAACTTGACGATGATGGAAGGTAAAAAGGGTTCTTTCAGACGATTGAAAGAGATTAGTTCGTTTTGGAGGTGTTAAAATTAACAAGCTAGTATTTGTCCCATTTATTTTGTGCTATTTATCAAAAGATTGTAAGTCTTCTTATTTTTTTTATTTTATTTTTTTTAGATCAGCTGCCAGTTTGACATCGTTGAAGTAAATCGATCTTTTTTTTCTCCATCTTTCTCTTCTCTACAAATGCGAAACGTGGATCTGGTACAACAGGCGCATCAAACAATTGGAAAAGTTCTAAATGATATCGAAATTTGTTTTTTCCATGTGACTGTAAAAAATAAATGTAGAGAGTGATCTACCGTGATGGGAGTGAAATGTCCAAATAAATAAAAGAACAGATAGAGTAAAAATCCACACTTCGTAGCATTTACTTTTTTAAAAAGTGCTCAATACAAAGTAGAGCAAAATATTATTATAATATTTTTTATTATAATACGTTAAAATGAAAGCATTTTACATCGCTACGCAAAAGCTTTTGTGTTTCAGAATTATAATAGTTCTACCTCAGGCGATATTAAGTAATTCGTGATAAATATGATTTATTAGAGAAATTTGAAAACAAATCCTTATCTTTTTTTCAGAAGTTAAAAAGGGCATAAGGTCATAATTAAAAATATACTTGTGGGCATGTCTAGATTAACCAATTAAGAGTCAGATCATAGCTAAAATAGAAAAATAAGGTCAGAGGATGACGGTGGATGGGTTATTTATTCATGTCAAGTTAGATCGTTGCTTAGACATGTCAGCGACAAGTATATCAAAGATGTAGCCAAATATGATATTCGGATTTGTTGGAGTAAACAGTTTTCAGAAACACATTTTTTTTTAAATTAACATTTTTTTTCTTCATATACTCAGGAAGCTTCTTAAAGAGGGCAATAGATAAAGTTAAGAATATTCATGTAGTGGGCTTTATTTTCTATCAGGAGTCATACAAGTGTTTCATTTAACAACACATAAACCCACGGTCTGCTACAGACTGACTACATTTTATTAAAAATTTCAACCAGATAATTTGATAAAAAAAACGGACATTATAAAAAAAAAATGAAGCATTTTCACACACAGTTCATGCATTCTACGGGAGGGAACAATGGAGAAATCTTTCTCTACAAAACATCTACATCTGTTAACATGGAAATCCCACAACAACTTCTTGGGAAGAGGAAAGGATTTTGCAATCATGCCAACACCCCTCCTCAATCTAATGGCTGAATGGATTCAACTGTCCTCCCCTAACTTCCCCCACATTTCTATGGGGGCCAATATGTTAACATGCATTAACACTAGCAACTGATTTGTATTTAATGTATATATACTTTTAGATTTAAAAAAGTATTTTTGATCTACTTTTTTTATTTATTTTTCGTTTTCTTGCGTAAAGCATCTTTTCGCAGAGAAAAACCTATTGATTTCGAAATTCTTACAAAATCAAGTAATTGTCGGATTTTAAAGAAATTTTCAGGACTTATTCATAAATGAATGAAATATTTTTAGAAAATCTTGATGAATACATTTTGTTTAGATTGATTACCCCCGCACACACACACTTATTTAATATTAAGTATTTTTTGAGAAATTAAATTTTGTGAGAATTTAATGTTCATATTAATTAAAAGAAGAACTAGGATAATTTAAACTCTACCCACGTCTCACTGCAAGGCACTGTTCATCTGTTTCACCTTTTTTAGCAGCAGTGGAGATTATGCATCGTAATAGTGTTCACCTCTGCCTCCCTCCCTCACACTGCAAGGCACTGTTCAAGCTATTTCACCTTTTCTACACTGCAAGGCACTGTTCGATTACGCATAGTATTCACCTCTGCCTCCTCCCCCTCACACTGCAAGGCACTGTTCAACTATTTCACCTTTTCTAGCAGAAGTGGCGATTACGCATCGTAATAGTGTTCACCTCTGCCTCCCTCCTCACACACTGCAAGACACTGTTCAACTAGTTCACCTTTTCTAGCAGCAGTGGAGATTACGCATTGTAATAGTGTTCACCTCTGCCTCCCTCCCTCACACTGCAAGACACTGTTCAACTAGTTCACCTTTTCTAGCAGCAGTGGAGATTACGCATCGTAATAGTGTTCACCTCTGCCTCCCTCCCCTCACACTGCAAGACACTGTTCAACTATTTCACCTTTTCTAGCAGCAGACGGCGATTACGCACACTGCAAGTAATAGTGTTCACCTTACTGCCTCCCTCCCCTCACACTGCAAGGCACTGTTCATCTATTTCACCTTTTTTAGCAGCAGTGGCGATTACGCATCGTAATAGTGTTCATTGCCTCCTCCCTCACACTGCAAGACACTGTTCAACTATTTCCCTCAGCAGCTGGCGATTACGCATCGTAATAGTGTTCACTGTTCACACTGCAAGGCACTGTTCAACTATTTTTTTTCTAGCAGCAGTGGCGATTACGCATCGTAATAGTGTTCACCTCTGCCTCCCTCCCTCACACTGCAAGACACTGTTCAACTATTTCACCTTTTCTAGCAGCAGTGAGATTACGATTACGCATCGTAATAGTGTTCACCTCTGCCTACCTCCCTCCCTCCCCGCTCACACTGCAAGGCACTGTTCAACTATTTCACCTTTTCTAGCAGCAGTGGAGATTACGCATCGTAATAGTGTTCACCTCTGCCTCCCTCCCCACACTGCAAGACACTGTTCAACTAGTTCACCTTTTCTAGCAGCAGTGGAGATTACGCATCGTAATAGTGTTCACCTCTGCTCCCTCCCTCACACTGCAAGGCACTGTTCAACTATTTCACCTTTTCTAGCAGCAGGAGATTACGCATCGTAATAGTGTTCACCTCTGCCTCCCTCCCCTCACTGCAAGACACTGTTCAACTAGTTCACCTTTTCTAGCAGCAGTGGCATCGATTACGCATCGTCCCTCCTTTCAATAGTATTCACCTTTTCTGCCTTACCATCGTCCCTCTGCCTCACACTGCAAGGCACTGTTCAACTAGTTCACCTTTTCTAGCAGCAGTGGAGATTACGCATCGTAATAGTGTTCACCTCTGCCTCCCTCCCTCACACTGCAAGACACTGTTCAACTATTTCACCTTTTCTAGCAGCAGTGGAGATTACGCATCGTAATAGTGTTCACCTCTGCCTCCCTCCCTCACACTGCAAGGCACTGTTCAACTATTTCACCTTTTTTAGCAGCAGTGGCGATTACACATGTCGCATAGTGTTCACCTCTGCCTCCCTCCCTCACACTGCAAGACACTGTTCAACTATTTCACCTTTTCTAGCAGCAGTGGAGATTACGCATCGTAATAGTGTTCACCTCTGCCTCCCTCCCTCACACTGCAAGGCACTGTTCAACTATTTCACCTTTTCTAGCAGCAGTGGAGATTACGCATCGTAATAGTATTCACCTCTGCCTCCCTCCCTCACACTGCAAGGCCCTGTTCATCTATTTCACCTTTTTAGCAGCAGTGGCGATTACGCATCGTAATAGTATTCACCTCTGCCTCCCCTCCCTCACACTGCAAGGCACTGTTCAACTATTTCACCTTTTCTAGCAGCAGTGGCGATTACGCATCGTAATAGTGTTCACCTCTGCCTCTCCCCACCTGCAAGGCACTGTTCATCTTTCACACACATCGTGCAAGTTCAAACATTTCACCTTTTTTAGCAGCACACTGTTTCACAACTATCCATCCTCACACTTTTCAACTGTTTCACCTTTTACAGCAGTGGCGATTACGCATCGTAATAGTGTTCACCTCTGCCTCCCTCCCTCACACACTGCAAGGCACTGTTCAACTATTTCACCTTTTTTAGCAGCAGTGGCGATTACGCATCGTAATAGTGTTCACCTCTGCCCCTCCCTCCCTCACACTGCAAGGCACTGTTCAACTATTTCACCTTTTCTAGCAGCAGTGGCGATTACGCATCGTAATAGTGTTCACCTCTGCTCTCCTCCCTCACACTGCAAGGCACTGTTCAACTATTTTACCTTTTCTAGCAGCAGTGGCGATTACGCATCGTAATAGTATTCACCTCTGCCTCCCTCCCTCACACTGCAAGGCACTGTTCAACTATTTCACCTTTTCTAGCAGCAGTGGCGATTACGCATCGTAATAGTGTTCACCTCTGCCTCCTCCCCTCACACTGCAAGGCACTGTTCAACTATTTCCCTTTTTTAGCAGCAGTGGCGATTACGCATCGTAATAGTGTTCACCTCTGCCTCCCTCGCTCACACTGCAAGGCACTGTTCATCTATTTCACCTTTTTTAGCAGCAGTGGCGATTACGCATCGTAATAGTGTTCACCTCTGCCTCCCTCCCTCACACTGCAAGGCACTGTTCAACTATTTCACCTTTTCTAGCAGCAGTGGCGATTACGCATCGTAATAGTGTTCACCTCTGCCTCCCTCCCTCACACTGCAAGGCACTGTTCATCTATTTCACCTTTTTCTAGCAGCAGTGGAGATTACGCATCGTAATAGTGTTCACCTCTGCCTCCCTCCCTCACACTGCAAGGCACTGTTCAACTATTTCACCTTTTTTAGCAGCAGTGGAGATTACGCATCGTAATAGTGTTCACCTCTGCCTCCCTCCCTCACACTGCAAGGCACTGTTCAACTAGTTCACCTTTTCTAGCAGCAGTGGCGATTACGCATCGTAGTGTTCACCTCTGCCTCCTCCCTCACACTGCAAGGCACTGTGTTCACCTTTTCTAGCCAGTGTCGATTACGCATCGTAATAGTATTCACCTCCCTCACACTGCAAGGCACTGTTCATCTATTTCACCTTTTCTAGCAGCAGTGGCGATTACGCATCGTAATAGTGTTCACCTCTGCCTCCCTCCCCTCACACTGCAAGGCACTGTTCAAATATTTCACCTTTTCTAGCAGCAGTGGCGATTACGCATCGTAATAGTGTTCACCTCTGCCTCCCCCTCCCTCACACTGCAAGGCACTGTTCAACTATTTCACCTTTTCTAGCAGCAGTGGCAATTACGCATCGTAATAGTATTCACCTCTGCCCCTCCCCTCACACTGCAAGGCACTGTTCAACTATTTCACCTTTCTAGCAGCAGTGGCGATTACGCATCGTAATAGTGTTCACCTCTGCCTCCCCTCCCTCACACTGCAAGGCACTGTTCAACTATTTCACCTTTTCTAGCAGCAGCAGATTACGATTACGCATCGTGTTCAAATATTTCACCTTTTCTAGCAATAGTATTCACCTCTGCCTCCCTCCCTCACACTGCAAGGAACAGTTCAACTAGATCACCTTTTCTAGCAGCAGTGGAGATTACGCATCGTAATAGTGTTCACCTCTGCCTCCCTCCCTCACACTGCAAGGCACTGTTCAACTATTTCACCTTTTCTAGCAGCAGTGGCGATTACGCATCGTAATAGTGTTCACCTCTGCCTCCCTCCCTCACACTGCAAGGCACTGTTCAACTATTTCACCTTTTCTAGCAGCAGTGGCGATTACGCATCGTAATAGTGTTCACCTCTGCCTCCCCTCCCTCACACTGCAAGGCACTGTTCAACTATTTCACCTTTTCTAGCAGTGGCGATTGCAGTGGAGATTTCACCTCTGCACGTCCCTCACACTGCAGTGTTCACCTTTTCTAGCCAGTCCCTTACCATCGTAATAGTGTTCACCTCTGCCTCCCTCCCTCACACTGCACTGTTCAACTATTTCACCTTTTCTAGCAGCAGTGGCGATTACGCATCGTAATAGTGTTCACCTCTGCCTCCCTCCCTCACACTGCAAGACACTGTTCAACTATTTCACCTTTTCTAGCAGCAGTGGCGATTACGCATCGTAATAGTATTCACCTCTGCCTCCCTCCCTCACACTGCAAGGCACAGTTCAACTATTTCACCTTTTCTAGCAGCAGTGGCGATTACGCATCGTAATAGTGTTCACCTCTGCCTCCCTCCCTCACACTGCAAGGCACTGTTCAAATATTTCACCTTTTCTAGCAGCAGTGGCGATTGCGCATCGTAATAGTATTCACCTCTGCCTCCCTCCCTCACACTGCAAGGCACAGTTCAACTAGATCACCTTTTCTAGCAGCAGTGGAGATTACGCATCGTAATAGTGTTCACCTCTGCCTCCATCCCTCACACTGCAAGGCACTGTTCAACTATTTCACCTTTTCTAGCAGCAGTGGCGATTACGCATCGTAATAGTGTTCACCTCTGCCTCCCTCCCTCACACTGCAAGGCACTGTTCAAATATTTCACCTTTTCTAGCAGCAGTGGCGATTGCGCATCGTAATAGTGTTCACCTCTGCCTCCCTCCCTCACACTGCAAGGCACTGTTCAAATATTTCACACCTTTTCTAGTGGCGATTACAGTGGCGATTACACTGCAAGGCACTGTTCAATAGTGTTTTTCAGCAGCAGTGGAGATTACGCATCGTGTATTCCTCCCTCCTCCCTCACACTGCAAGGCACTGTTCAACTATTTCACCTTTTCTAGCAGCAGTGGCGATTACGCATCGTAATAGTGTTCACCTCTGCCTCCCTCCCTCACACTGCAAGGCACTGTTCAACTATTTCACCTTTTCTAGCAGCAGTAATAGTGACATTACGCATCGTAATAGTGTTCACCTCTGCAGCAGTCCCTCCTCACACTGCAAGGCACTGTTCAACTATTTCACCTTTTCTAGCAGCAGTGGCGATTACGCATCGTAATAGTGTTCACCTCTGCCTCCCTCCCTCACACTGCAAGGCACTGTTCAACTATTTCACCTTTTCTAGCAGCAAGGCACTGTTCATCTATTTCACCTTTTCTAGCAGCAGTTACGCATCGTAATAGTGTTCACCTCTGCCTCCTCCCTCACACTGCAAGGCACTGTTCAACTATTTCACCTTTTCTAGCAGCAGTGGCGATTACGCATCGTAATAGTGTTCACCTCTGCCTCCCTCCCCTCACACTGCAAGGCACACTGTTCAAACTATTTCACCTTTTCTAGCAGCAGTGGCGATTACGCATCGTAATAGTGTTCACCTCTGCCTCCCTCCCTCACACTGCAAGGCACTGTTCAACTATTTCACCTTTTTTAGCAGCAGTGGCGATTACGCATCGTAACACTGCAAGGCACTGTTCAACTATTTCACCTTTTCTAGCAGCAGTGGCGATTATGCATCCACCTCTCCCCCCTCACACTGCAAGGCACTGTTCAACTATTTCACCTTTTCTAGCAGCAGTGGCGATTACGCATCGTAATAGTGTTCACCTCTGCCTCCCTCCCCTCACACTGCAAGGCACAGTTCAACTATTTCACCTTTTCTAGCAGCAGTGGCGATTACGCATAATAGTATTCACCTCTGCCTCCCTCCCACACTGCAAGGCACTGTTCATCTATTTCACCTTTTTTAGCAGCAGTGAGCATTACATCTATCGTAATCACACCTCTGCCTCCTCCCCTCACACTGCAGGCACTGTTCAACTATTTCACCTTTTCTAGCGCATCGTTATGCATCGTAATAGTGTTCACCTCTGCCTCCCCCCTCACACTGCAAGGCACTGTTCAACTATTTCACCTTTTCTAGCAGCAGTGGCGATTACGCATCGTAATAGTGTTCACCTCTGCCTCCCTCCCCTCACACTGCAAGGCACTGTTCAACTATTTCACCTTTTCTAGCAGCAGTGGAGATTACGCATCGTAATAGTGTTCACCTCTGCCTCCCCTCCCTCACACTGCAAGGCACTGTTCAACTATTTCACCTTTTCTAGCAGCAGTGGCGATTACGCATCGTAATAGTGTTCACCTCTGCCTCCCTCCCTCCTCACACTGCAAGGCACTGTTCAACTATTTCACCTTTTCTAGCAGCAGTGGCGATTACGCATCGTAATAGTATTCACCTCTGCCTCCTCCCTCACACTGCAAGGCACTGTTCAACTATTTCACCTTTTCTAGCAGCAGTGGAGATCGTACGCACCTCGTCCCTCACACTAGTGTTCAACCTCTGCCTTTTCTAGCAGTGGCGACACACTGCAAGACACTGTTCATCTATTTCACCTTTTTTTCTAGCAGCAGTGGCGATTACGCATCGTAATAGTGTTCACCTCTGCCTCCCCTCCCTCACACTGCAAGGCACAGTTCAACTATTTCACCTTTTCTAGCAGCAGTGGAGATTACGCATCGTAATAGTGTTCACCTCTGCTTCCCTCCCTCACACTGCAAGGCACTGTTCAACTATTTCACCTTTTCTAGCAGCAGTGGAGATTACGCATCGTAATAGTGTTCACCTCTGCCTCCCTCCCTCACACTGCAAGGCACTGTTCAACTATTTCACCTTTTCTAGCAGCAGTGGAGATTACGCATCGTAATAGTGTTCACCTCTGCCTCCCTCCCCCACTCACACTGTTCAAGACACTGTTTGCATCTATTTCACCTCTTTTCACACTAGCAGTTCAACTAGATCACCATTACGCATGGAGATTAGTGTATTCACCTCTGCCTCCCCTCCCTCACACTGCAAGGCACTGTTCAACTATTTCACCTTTTCTAGCAGCAGTGGCGATTACGCATCGTAATAGTGTTCACCTCTGCCTCCCTCCCTCACACTGCAAGGCACTGTTCAACTATTTCACCTTTTCTAGCAGCAGTGGCGATTACGCATCGTAATAGTGTTCACCTCTGCCTCCCTCCCTCACACTGCAAGGCACTGTTCAACTATTTCACCTTTTTCACCTAGCAGGCAGTGTTCAGATTACGCATCGTAATAGTCGTTCCCCCTCTGCTCCCTCCCTCACACTGCAAGGCACTGTTCAACTATTTCACCTTTTCTAGCAGCAGTGGCGATTACGCATCGTAATAGTGTTCACCTCTGCCTCCCTCCCTCCCACTGCACACTGCAAGGCACAGCAGTGGCGATCAACTATTTTCACCTTTTCCTAGCAGCAGTGGAGATTTCGCATTGTTCGCATCTCTGCCTCCCCTCCCCCTCACACTGCAAGGCACTGTTCAACTATTTCACCTTTTTCTAGCAGCAGTGGAGATTACGCATCGTAATAGTGTTCACCTCTGCCTCCATCCCTCACACTGCAAGGCACTGTTCAACTATTTCACCTTTTCTAGCAGCAGTGGCGATTACGCATCGTAATAGTGTTCACCTCTGCCTCCCTCCCTCACACTGCAAGGCACTGTTCAACTATTTCACCTTTTCTAGCAGCAGTGGCGATTACGCATCGTAATAGTGTTCACCTCTGCCTCCCTCCCTCACACTGCAAGGCACTGTTCAACTATTTCAGCCAGTTTTCGTAATAGCAGCAGTGGCACTGTTCATTACGCATCATAATAGTGTTCACCTCTGCTCTCCCTCCCTCACACTGCAAGGCACTGTTCATCTATTTCACCTTTTTTAGCACCTTTTTCACCTCTGCCTCCCCTCACAGCAAGCACTGTTCAATTACGCATCCTTTTAGTGTTCATTACCATCGTAATGCCTTCCCTCCCCTCCCTCACACTGCAAGGCACTGTTCAACTATTTCACCTTTTCTAGCAGCAGTGGCGATTACGCATCGTAATAGTAACCTCTGTCCATCCTCACACTGCAAGGCACTGTTCCTCCCTTTTCTAGCAGCAGTGGCGAAGGCACTGTGTTCAAATCTTTCCTCCTTTCCCTCACACTGCAAGGCACTGTTCAAATATTTCACCTTTTTAGCAGCAGTGGCGATTGCGCATCGTAATAGTGTTCACCTCTGCCTCCCCTCCCTCACACTGCAAGGCACTGTTCAACTATTTCACCTTTTCTAGCAGCAGTGGCGATTACGCATCGTAATAGTGTTCACCTCTGCCTCCCCCTCCCACACTGCAAGGCACTGTTCAACTATTTCACCTTTTTGCAGCAGTGGAGATTACGCATCGATTGTTCACCTCTGCCTCCCTCCTCACACTGCAAGGCACTGTTCAACTATTTCACCTTTTCTGCCAGTGGCCGCATCGTAATAGTGTTCACCTCTGCCTCCCTCCCTCACACTGCAAGGCACTGTTCAACTATTTCACCTTTTTTAGCAGCAGTGGCGATTACGCATCGTAATAGTATTCACCTCTGCCTCCCTCCCTCACACTGCAAGGCACTGTTCAACTATTTCACCTTTTTTAGCAGCAGTGGAGATTACGCATCGTAATAGTGTTCACCTCTGCCTCCCTCCCTCACACTGCAAGGCACTGTTCAACTATTTCACCTTTTTTAGCAGCAGTGGCGATTACGCATCGTAATAGTGTTCACCTCTGCCTCCCCCTCCCTCACACTGCAAGGCACTGTTCAACTATTTCACCTTTTCTAGCAGCAGTGGCGATTACGCATCGTAATAGTGTTCACCTCTGCCTCCCCCCTCACACACTGCAAGGCACTGTTCAACTATTTCACCTTTTCTAGCAGCAGTGGCGATTACGCATCGTAATAGTGTTCACCTCTGCCTCCTCCCCTCACACTGCAAGGCACTGTTCAACTATTTCACCTTTTCTAGCAGCAGTGGAGATTACGCATCGTAATAGTGTTCACCTCTGCCTCCATCCCTCACACTGCAAGGCACTGTTCAACTATTTCACCTTTTCTAGCAGCAGTGGCGATTACGCATCGTGGGCCAGTGTTCACCTCTGCCTCCCACTCCCTCACACTGCAAGGCACTGTTCAACTATTTCACCTTTTCTAGCAGCAGTGGTGGCGATTGCGATTCACGCATCGTACACTAGTGTTCACCTTTTTAGCTGCCTCCCAGCAGTGGCGATTACGCACTCCCACCATCCCTCACACTGCAAGGCACTGTTCAACTAGTTCACCTTTTCTAGCAGCAGTGGCGATTACGCATCGTAATAGTGTTCACCTCTGCCTCCCTCCCTCACACTGCAAGGCACTGTTCAACTATTTCACCTTTTTTAGCAGCAGTGGCGATTACGCATCGTAATAGTGTTCACCTCTGCCTCCCTCCTCACACTCAAGACACTGTTCAACATTTCACCTGCAGCAGTGGCGATTACGCATCGTAATAGTACCTTCCCTCACACTTTTCAACTAGCACCTTTTTAGCAGTGGAGATTACGCATCGTAATAGTGTTCACCTCTGCCTCCCTCCCCTCACACTGCAAGACACTGTTCAACTATTTCACCTTTTCTAGCAGCAGTGGAGATTACGCATCGTAATAGTGTTCACCTCTGCCTCCCCTCCCTCACACTGCAAGGCACTGTTCAACTATTTCACCTTTTCTAGCAGCAGTGGCGATTACGCATCGTAATAGTATTCACCTCTGCCTCCCACACTCCCTCACACTGCAAGGCACTGTTCAACTATTTCACCTTTTCTAGCAGCAGTGGCGATTACGCATCGTAATAGTGTTCACCTCTGCCTCCCTCCCCTCACACTGCAAGGCACTGTTCAACTATTTCACCTTTTCTAGCAGCAGTGGCGATTACGCATCGTAATAGTATTCACCTCTGCCTCCTCCCCTCACACTGCAAGGCACTGTTCAACTATTTCACCTTTTCTAGCAGCAGTGGAGATTACGCATCGTAATAGTGTTCACCTCTGCCTCCTCCCTCCACTCAAGGCACAACTATTCACCTTTTTTAGCAGCAGTGGCGATTACGCACGTGTGTTCACCTCTGCCTCCCTCCCTCACTATTTCAACTATTTTTTCTAGCAGCAGTGGCGATTACGCATCGTAATAGTATTCACCTCTGCCTCCCCCCCTCACACTGCAAGGCACTGTTCAACTATTTCACCTTTTCTAGCAGCAGTGGAGATTACGCATCGTAATAGTGTTCACCTCTGCCTCCCTCCCCTCACACTGCAAGGCACTGTTCAACTATTTCACCTTTTCTAGCAGCAGTGGCGATTACGATTACGCATCCTCACACTGCAAGTGTTCAACTATTTCACCTTTTTAGCTGCAGTGGCGATTACGCATCGTAATAGTATTCACTCTCTGCCTCCCCCCTCACACTGCAAGGCACTGTTCAACTCACACTGCAAGGCACTGTTCAACTATTTCACCTTTTCTAGCAGCAGTGGAGATTACGCATCGTAATAGTGTTCACCTCTGCCTCCCTCCCTCACACTGCAAGGCACTGTTCAACTATTTCACCTTTTTTAGCAGCAGTGGCGATTACGCATCGTAATAGTGTTCACCTCTGCCTCCCTCCCTCACACTGCAAGACACTGTTCAACTATTTCACCTTTTTTAGCAGCAGTGGCGATTACGCATCGTAATAGTATTCACCTCTGCCTCCCTCCCTCACACTGCAAGGCACTGTTCAACTATTTCACCTTTTCTAGCAGCAAGGCACTGTTCCATCTATTACGCAGCAGCAGTGGCGATTACGCATAGTGTTCACCTCTGCCTCCTCCCTCACACTGCAAGGCACTGTTCATCTATTTCACCTTTTTAGCAGCAGCAGTGGCGATTACGCATCGTAATAGTGTTCACCTCTGCCTCCCTCCCTCACACTGCAAGGCACTGTTCAACTATTTCACCTTTTTTTAGCAGCAGTGGCGATTACGCATCGTAATTAGTCGTAGTGTTCACCTCTGCCTCCCTCCCTCACACTGCAAGGCACTGTTCAACTATTTCACCTTTTCTAGCAGCAGTGGCGATTACGCATCGTAATAGTGTTCACCTCTGCCTCCCCCCCCTCACACTGCAAGGCACTGTTCAACTATTTCACCTTTTCTAGCAGCAGTGGCGATTACGCATCGTAATAGTTTTCACCTCTGCCTCCCTCCCTCACACTGCAAGGCACTGTTCATCTATTTCACCTTTTCTAGCAGCAGTGGAGATTACGCATCGTAATAGTGTTCACCTCTGCCCTCCTCCCTCACACTGCAAGGCACTGTTCATCTATTTCACCTTTTCTAGCAGCAGTGGAGATTACGCATCGTAATAGTGTTCACCTCTGCCTCCCTCCCTCACACTGCAAGGCACTGTTCATCTATTTCACCTTTTTTAGCAGCAGTGGCGATTACGCATCGTAATAGTATTCACCTCTGCCTCCCTCCCTCACACTGCAAGGCACTGTTCAACTATTTCACCTTTTCTAGCAGCAGTGGCGATTACGCATCGTAATAGTGTTCACCTCTGCCTCCCTCCCTCACACTGCAAGGCACTGTTCAACTATTTCACCTTTTCTAGCAGCAGTGGAGATTACGCATCGTAATAGTGTTCACCTCTGCCTCCCTCCCTCACACTGCAAGGCACTGTTCAACTATTTCACCTTTTCTAGCAGCAGTGGAGATTACGCATCGTAATAGTGTTCACCTCTGCCTCCCCCCTCACACTGCAAGGCACTGTTCATCTATTTCACCTTTTTTAGCAGCAGTGGAGATTACGTGTTCACCTCTGCCTCCCTCCCTCACACTGCAAGGCACAGTTCAACTATTTCACTTTTTTTAGCAGCAGTGGCGATTACGCATCGTAATAGTATTCACCTCCCTCCCTCACACTGCAAGGCACTGTTCAACTATTTCACCTTTTTTAGCAGCAGTGGAGATTACGCATCGTAATAGTGTTCACCTCTGCCTCCCTCCCTCACACTGCAAGGCACTGTTCAACTATTTCACCTTTTTAGCAGCAGGCGATTACGCATCGTAATAGTGTTCACCTCTGCCTCCCTCCCTCACACTGCAAGGCACTGTTCATCTATTTCACCTTTTCTAGCAGCAGTGGAGATTACGCATCGTAATAGTGTTCACCTCTGCCTCCTCCCCACACTGCAAGGCACTGTTCATCTATTTCACCTTTTTAGCAGCAGTGGAGATTACGCATCGTATTCACCTGCCTCCTCCCCACTCCCACCTTTTTAGCCTCTGCCTCTCCTCAAAGACACTGTTCAACTATTTCACCTTTTCTAGCAGCAGTGGCGATTACGCATCGTAATAGTGTTCAACTCTGCCTCCCTCCCTCACACTGCAAGACACTGTTCATCTATTTCACCTTTTCTAGCAGCAGTGGCGATTACGCATCGTAATAGTGTTCACCTCTGCCTCCCTCCCTCACACTGCAAGGCACTGTTCATCTATTTCACCCTTTTCCTAGCAGCAGTGGAATTACGCATCGTAATAGTGTTCACCTCTGCCTCCTCCCTCACACTGCAAGGCACTGTTCAACTATTTCACCAGCAGTTTATGCATCGTAATAGTGTTCACCTCTGCCTCCCTCCCTCACACTGCAAGCACTGTTCATCTATTTCACCTTTTTTAGCAGCAGGGCGATTACGCATCGTAATAGTGTTCACCTCTGCCTCCCTCCTCCACTGCAAGGCACTGTTCATCCTTTCACCTTTTTTAGCAGCAGTGGAGATACGCATCGTAATAGTGTTCACCTCTGCCTCCCTCCCCTCACACTGCAAGGCACTGTTCAACTATTTCACCTTTTTAGCAGCATCGTAATAGTACGCCTCTCCCCTCCTCACACTGCAAGACACTGTTCAACTTCACCTCTGCCTCCCTCCCTCACACTGCAAGGCACTGTTCAACTATTTCACCTTTTCTAGCAGCAGTGGCGATTACGCATCGTAATAGTGTTCACCTCTGCCTCCCTCCCTCACACTGCAAGACACTGTTCATCTATTTCACCTTTTCTAGCAGCAGTGGCGATTACGCATCGTAATAGTGTTCACCTCTGCCTCCCTCCCTCACACTGCAAGGCACTGTTCAACTATTTCACCTTTTCTAGCAGCAGTGGCGATTACGCATCGTAATAGTGTTCACCTCTGCCTCCCTCCCTCACACTGCAAGACACTGTTCATCTATTTCACCTTTTCTAGCAGCAGTGGCGATTACGCATCATGTGTGTTTCACCTCTGCCTCCCTCCCTCACACTGCAAGGCACTGTTCAACTATTTCACCTTTTTTTTCTAGCAGCAGTGGCGATTACGCATCATAATAGTGTTCACCTCTGCCTCCCTCCCTCACACTGCAAGGCACTGTTCATCTATTTCACCTTTTCTAGCAGCAGTGGCGATTACGCATCGTAATAGTGTTCACCTCTGCCTCCCCTCCCTCACACTGCAAGGCACTGTTCAACTATTTCACCTTTTCTAGCAGCAGTGGCGATTACGCATCGTAATAGTGTTCACCTCTGCCTCCCTCCCTCACACTGCAAGGCACTGTTCATCTATTTCACCTTTTCTAGCAGCAGTGGCGATTACGCATCGTAATAGTGTTCACCTCTGCCTCCCTCCCCTCACACTGCAAGACACTGTTCAACTATTTTTTACTTTTCTAGCAGCAGTGGAGATTACGCATGTTCACCTCTGCCTCCTCCCTCACACTGCAAGGCACTGTTCACCTCACCTTTTAGCAGCAGTGGCGATTACGCATCGTAATAGTGTTCACCTCTGCCTCCCCTCCCTCACACTGCAAGGCACTGTTCATCTATTTCACCTTTTTTCAGCAGTGGCGATTACGCATCGTGTTTCACCTCTGCCTCCCTCCTCACACTCAAGGCACTCCCTTCCCCTTTTTTAGCACACTTACGCATCGTAATAGTGTTCACTGTCCCTCCATCACACTGCAAGGCACTTTCACCTTTTCTAGCAGCAGTGGAGATTACGCATCGTAATAGTGTTCACCTCTGCCTCCCTCCCTCACACTGCAAGGCACTGTTCATCTATTTCACCTCTTTCTAGCAGCAGTGGCGATTTTTAGCGCATCGTAATCAGTGTTTCACCTCTGCCTCCCTCCCTCACACTGCAAGACACTGTTCATCTATTTCACCTTTTCTAGCAGCAGTGGAGATTACGCATCGTAATAGTGTTCACCTCTGCCTCCCCTCACACTGCAAGGCACTTCAACTATTTCACCTTTTCTAGCAGCAGTGGCGATTACGCATCGTATTGTTCACCTCTTTCTCACACTAGCACTGTTCAACTATTTCACCTTTTCTAGCAGCAGTGGAGATTACGCATCGTAATAGCATCGTACACTAGTTCATTCACCTCTGCCTCCCGTCCCCCCTCACACTGCAAGGCACTGTTCAACTATTTCACCTTTTCTAGCAGCAGTGGAGATTACGCATCGTAATGGTGTTCACCTCTGCCTCCATCCCTCACACTGCAAGGCACTGTTCATCTATTTCACCTTTTTTTAGCAGCAGTGGCGATTACGCATCGTAATAGTGTTCACCTCTGCCTCCCTCCCCTCACACTGCAAGGCACTGTTCAACTATTTCACCTTTTCTAGCAGCAGTGGCGATTACGCATCGTAATAGTGTTCACCTCTGCCTCCCTCCCTCACACTGCAAGGCACTGTTCATCTATTCACCTTTTTTAGCAGCAGTGGCGATTACGCATCGTAATAGTGTTCACCTCTGCCTCCTCCCTCACACTGCAAGGCACTGTTCAACTATTTCACCTTTTCTAGCAGCAGTGGCGATTACGCATCGTAATGTGTTCACCTTCACCTCTGCCTCCCCCTCACACTGCAAGGCACTTCAACTATCTTCACACTTTCTAGCAGCACTGTTCATCTCCTCCCTTTTCAGCTGATACACCACTTTCAACTATTTCACCTTTTCTAGCAGATTACGCATCGTAATATTGTTCACCTCTGCTTCCCTCCCTCACACTGCAAGACACTGTTCATCTATTTCACCTTTTTTAGCAGCAGTGGCGATTACGCATCGTAATAGTGTTCACCTGCCTCCCTCCCTCACACTGCAAGGCACTGTTCAACTATTTCACCTTTTCTAGCAGCAGTGGCGATTACGCATCGTAATAGTGTTCACCTCTGCCTCCCTCCCTCACACTGCAAGGCACTGTTCAACTATTTCACCTTTTCTAGCAGCAGTGGCGATTACGCATCGTAATAGTGTTCACCTCTGCCTCCCCCCTCACACTGCAAGGCACTGTTCATCTATTTCACCTTTTTTTTACGCATCGTAATAGTGTTCACCTCTGCCTCCCCCTCCCTCACACTGCAAGGCACTGTTCAACTATTTCACCTTTTCTAGCAGCAGTGGCATTACGCATCGTAATGTTCACCTCTGCCTCCCCTCCCCTCACACTGCAAGGCACTGTTCAACTATTTCACCTTTTTTAGCAGCAGTGGCATTACGCATCGTAATAGTGTTCACCTCTGCCTCCCTCGCTCACACTGCAAGGCCCTGTTCATCTATTTCACCTTTTTTAGCAGCAGTGGCGATTACGCATCGTAATAGTGTTCACCTCTGCCTCCTCCCTCACACTGCAAGGCACTGTTCAACTATTTCACCTTTTCTAGCAGCAGTGGTGATTACGCATCCCCAATAGTGTTCACCTTTTCTGCCTCCGCATCCCTCCTCCCTCCCTCACACTGCAAGGCACTGTTCAACTATTTCACCTTTTCTAGCAGCAGTGGAGATTACGCATCGTAATAGTGTTCACCTCTGCCTCCCTCCCTCACACTGCAAGGCACTGTTCAACTATTTCACCTTTTTTAGCAGCAGTGGCGATTACGCATCGTAATAGTATTCACCTCTGCCTCCCCCCCCTCACACTGCAAGGCACTGTTCAACTATTTCACCTTTTCTAGCAGCAGTGGCGATTACGCATCGTAATAGTGTTCACCTCTGCCTCCATCCCTCACACTGCAAGGCACTGTTCAACTATTTCACCTTTTTAGCAGCAGTGGCGATTACGCATCGTAATAGTGTTCACCTCTGCCTCCCTCCCTCACACTGCAAGGCACTGTTCAACTATTTCACCTTTTCTAGCAGCAGTGGCGATTACGCATCGTGTAGTGTTCACCTCTGCCTCCCTCCCTCACACTGCAAGGCACTGTTCAACTATTTTTTTTTAGCAGCAGTGGCGATTGCGCATCGTAATAGTGTTCACCTCTGCCTCCCTCCCTCACACTGCAAGGCACTGTTCAACTATTTCACCTTTTTTTAGCAGCAGTGGCACGCATCGTAATCAGTATTCACCTCTGCCTCCATCCATCACACTGCAAGGCACTGTTCAACTATTTCACCTTTTTTTTGCAGCAGTGGCGATTACGCATCGTAATAGTGTTCACCTCTGCCTCCTCCCCACACTGCAAGGCACTGTCTCAACTATTTCACCTTTTTCTAGCAGCAGTGGCGATTACGCATCGTAACAGTAGTCCTCCCCTCACACTGCAAGTGTTCACCACCTTTTCTGCCTCCCATCTCCCTCACACTGCAAGGCACTGTTCAACTATTTCAAGGCCTTTTCTAGCAGCAGTGGATCTCTTACCTTTTTTAGCATCGATTACGCATCAGTGTTCACCTCTGCCTCCCTCCCTCACACTGCAAGGCACTGTTCATCTATTTCACCTTTTTTAGCAGCAGTGGCGATTACGCATCGTAATAGTGTTCACCTCTGCCTCCCTCCCTCACACTGCAAGGCACTGTTCATCTATTTCACCTTTTTTAGCAGCAGTGGCGATTACGCATCGTAATAGTATTCACCTCTGCCTCCCTCCCTCACACTGCAAGGCACTGTTCAACTATTTCACCTTTTCTAGCAGCAGTGGAGATTACGCATCGTAATAGTGTTCACCTCTGCCTCCCTCCTCACACTGCAAGGCACTGTTCAACTATTTCACCTTTTCTAGCAGCAGTGGCGATTACGCATCGTAATAGTGTTCACCACTGCCTCCCTCCCTCACCTCAAGACACTGTTCCTCCACCTCCCTCACACTGCAAGCAAGCACTGTTCATCTATTTCACCTTTTCTAGCAGCAGTGGAGATTACGCATCGTAATAGTGTTCACCTCTGCCTCCCTCCCCTCACACTGCAAGGCACTGTTCAACTATTTCACCTTTTTTTAGCAGCAGTGGAGATTACGCATCGTAATAGTGTTCACCTCTGCCTCCCCCCCCTCACACTGCAAGGCACTGTTCAACTATTTCACCTTTTTTAGCAGCAGTGGCGATTACGCATCGTAATAATTCAGTGTTCACCTCTGCCTCCCTCCTCACACTGCAAGGCACTGTTCAACTATTTCACCTTTTCTAGCAGCAGGAGATTACGCATCGTAATAGTGTTCACCTCTGCCTCCCCTCCCTCACACTGCAAGGCACTGTTCAACTATTTCACCTTTTCTAGCAGCAGTGGCGATTACGCATCGTAATTGTTCACCTCTGCCTCCCTCCCCCTCACTGCAAGGCACTGTTCAACTATTTCACCTTTCTAGCAGCAGTGGCGATTACGCATCGTACATGCAGTGTTCACCTCTGCCTCCTCCTCACACACTGCAAGGCACTGTTCAACTATTTCACCTTTTTTAGCAGCAGTGGCGATTACGCATCGTAATAGTGTTCACCTCTGCCTCCCTCCCTCACACTGCAAGGCACTGTTCAACTATTTCACCTTTTTTAGCAGCAGTGGCGATTACGCATCGTAATAGTATTCACCTCTGCCTCCCTCCCTCACACTGCAAGGCACTGTTCATCTATTTCACCTTTTTCTAGCAGCAGTGGCGATTACGCATCGTAATAGTGTTCACCTCTGCCTCCCCCTCCCTCACACTGCAAGGCACTGTTCAACTATTTCACCTTTTTAGCAGCAGTGGCGATTACGCATCGTGTAGTGTTTCACCTCTGCCTCCCTCCCTCACACTGCAAGGCACTGTTCATCTATTTCACCTTTTTAGCAGCAGTGGCGATTACGCATCGTAATAGTGTTCACCTCTGCCTCCCTCCCCCACACTGCAAGGCACTGTTCATCTATTTCACCTTTTCTAGCAGCAGTGGCGATTACGCATCGTAATAGTGTTCACCTCTGCCTCCCTCCCTCACACTGCAAGGCACTGTTCAACTATTTCACCTTTTCTAGCAGCAGTGGGAGATTACGCATCGTAATAGTGTTCACCTCTGCCTCCTCCCTCACCAAGCACTGTTCATCTATTTCACCTTTCATCTATTTCACCTTTTTTTTCTGCAGCACACTGGCGATTCACCCCTTTTCTAGCAGCAGTGGAATTACGCATCGTAATAGCCTCCCTCTGCCTCCACCCTCACACTGCAGGCACTGTTCAGCAGCTATTTCACCTTTTCTAGCAGCAGTGGCGATTACGCATCGTAATAGTGTTCACCTCTGCCTCCCTCCCCTCACACTGCAAGGCACTGTTCAACTATTTCACCTTTTCTAGCAGCAGTGGCGATTACGCATCGTAATAGTATTCACCTCTGCCTCCCCCTCCCCTCACACTGCAAGGCACTGTGTTCAACTATTTCAAGACACTGTTTATTTCACCTTTTCTAGTGCAGTGGCGATTACGCATCGTAACAGTGTTCACCTCTGCCTCCCTCCCCTCACACTGCAAGGCACTGTTCCAAATATTTCAATCTTTTCTAGCAGCAGTGGCGATTACGCATCGTAATAGTATTCACCTCTGCCTCCCCTCCCCTCACACTGCAAGGCACTGTTCATCCCTATTTCACCTTTTTTTGCAGCAGTAGAGGCATCGTAATAGTATTCACCTCTGCCTCCCTCCCTCACACTGCAAGGCACTGTTCAACTATT